TTAATTAATATGAATTATAATAAATGCATATTTTTTAATCTGTTTTTTGTCTTTTGATTATCTCTTTTATACAACAATATAGTGAAATATATATAGACAAATCAAAAAAGAAGAACAAAAAAAAAATGATCAAAAAGATGGACATCAATGGCAAGGCTAAAAAAATGATCAAAAAATATTTTCATTATTCCACTTCCACAACAATACAAGTAGTTTTTTGGGTTAAAATAGTTTAAATAACCAATTTCTAAAACAATCAATTATTTAATCATTCAAAAAAAAATGCAACGACTTAATCATTCAACATAAAAAAAAAGTTCAAACAACTTATTCAATCAAAAAAAATTCAAAAACTTGTTAATTCAAAATGGAATAAACTGGGCGTTTGGTTCGTAGAATGAAATTCGATGGAATTTGAATTCATCAAATGAATTTGACTTTGAGGGAATAGAATGAAATTTGATGGAATTTGACCATGCCTTGTGATTGTGTTTGGTTGCATGGAATTGGAATGAAATTCTTAATGGATTGGAATTTTTTTGTTTGGTTCACGGAATTCAACTTTGGAATCGGAATTAAATATCAACAAATGACCTTTTATGATTTTTGAATAACGGAATTGGACTAGTGATATCGATAGCTAGTTATCTTGAATCAATTCCTTGATTACATATGTTGTCTATCGATCTCGTATAGATGGAGAAATCACGAGAGAGAGAGAGAGAGAGAGAGAGAGAGAGCGCACGAGATGGTTGATGGAGATCGAACTAGAGATCAATTAGATGAGATGGTAGACGCAACGTTGAATGAATTTGAATTAGGGAAGGAATTTGTCGGAAATGAATTGAAATCCGAGGGTATTGCCGTGGAATGTAAAATCCGTGAGTGAAGGAATTTATTGGACTTGAAAGGATTCTATCGGTTTTATTCCATGAACCAAACATTGTATTTAGAATTTGGTCAAAGGATTTGGCCATTCCAATTCCTTTCAATTCCATTCAGATTCATGAACCAAACAGCCCCTTAGTTTTCTGAACTTTTCCCTTATTTAAATTCAATACAAATAGTTTTTTCTATAAATTTCTCATTCATTAAAAAAAATTATTAATCACAAAAATTAACTTTTGGATTACACTATATGTAATACTACACACACACACACATATATATATATATATGTGTGTGTGTGTATAATATAAATTAAGATAATAAAATTGATATATAATAAAAATATAAATTATATAATATGTGTAAAATGTACCTCCCCCCCCCCCATACACATACATACATATATAACTAGTGGTGTACATGTGCGATGCAACGCGGGTGAATCACAATTCTGAAACATTATTTTAGCCTTGAATCATGAGTTGTGTGATTATTTTGCAAGTCAACTAATATATAAAGTTGAAGATTGGTTATTCTATTTCATTTCCTTTTCTACTTTTGATGAATCTTTTGATTCATATTTGCTTTTCATCAGATGCCTCTTTCTGGATTTGTCGATTTCTTGAATATTGATGATAGGTAGTTGTTTGTTATTCAATTATAAAACAAGGCCATTGTTTCTTTAAATCCCATCATTTTCATATTCTAAATTGACTAATTTGACCTTGAAAAGTCAAATTTTCTCTAGAAAGAGACAGGAACTACAATTATGTGATAGCTCATGCAATAATTAATTATTCATCTTAATTATTACTTCCTACCAATTATGTTTATATAGAAATCAAAATATTCTTGATTTAAGGGAGTCTTAATTGGAAATAACAAGCATGTGGGGAGTGTCTGCTGGCTCATTTTAGTCATCTATTTTGGATCATTGTTTTTATATGATTATCTTCCTATATTTAAATCTCATTCACATGTTGCACTTTAGATTTGGTAGCTTATGTTTCCTTAATTTTAATTGAGCAGATGATAATGGTGAATCCCACAAATGGGAAATCATTTATAGGATATCAATGGGGATTGCTAGAGGATTAGATTATCTCCATACAAGGCCTCAAAAGCCAGGTATCCATGGAAATCTCAAGTCGAAAACGTACTTTTGGGAAGAAAACAACATTCGTTCATATATGATTTTGGCCTGCATCTCCTCTTGAATCCAACAGCAGCACAAGAAATGCTCGATGATGCTGCTGTAGAGGGTTATACAACACCTGAGTTGAGTAAAATGAAAGATGTTAGTAGGGAGAGTGATATCTACAATCTTGGGGTGATTTTACTCGAATTAGTAACCGGTAAGGAACCTATTAATAGGAAAGAATACCTTGATCAAGATTTCCATTTACCAATGTCGATGAGGAACGGAATCTTGGATCATTGGATGTCAGATTTATACCATCCTGATGTTCTGATGAATGAAGATGATAATGTTGGATTAAGTCCAGTTAATGAAGGCGTAATTCTCGAATTCGTCCAGCTTGTATTATTGGCTTGTTGTTCTCCTTCATCTTCTCTCGGGCTCGACATAAAGCAAATTTGTAAGAAGCTTGAAGAAGTTCACTACAAGAGATGGGGTTTTTAGAGAAGAAAGTTTTAGAGAAGAATTCAGAAGCGTAACTAAAGGTGATTTTTAGAGAAGGAATTATACGACAGATGTGAGAAGTGTAACTGAATATAAGATGATTTTCAGATAAGGATTTGAAATCAAATTATTCGCAACAAAAACTGTCTCTAAAGTTTTTAGANAAAATCGTCTCTAAAAGTCAAGCCGAATTTTTAGAAACGCTCTTCAAAATGTCTCTAAAAAATAAAAATGTTGTTTATTTTTATTTTTAAATTAATAAAAAGTTTCAGATGCGYTTTTATAGATTTTAAAGCGTCTCTAAAAGGTTTTTTTAAATAAATCAAAATTCAAAAATATATAATAAATCATTATTATTAGATACTTTATAAATGAGATTTAACAAAAGTCTTAAAAACAACATCTATTGCATTTGGTACTACCTTTTACTGCATAAAGTCTTAAAGTCTTTAAAAACAACCATTATTGCATATATTACCACTTTTTAAAGCATAATTCTTTAAAAACTCTTAATTACAACAAGTTTATGCATAATATACAACTTACCAATGCTATATCTATATCTGACACACGATTTATCTTCCCTATTACACTGTTGATGGCTTCTCTCCCAAAGCGACGATTTGATTCCCAAAATGGCGATTCAAGCTACCGGTGAATTCAAATATGATTAGAAATGCGTTTAGGGTTGTTATTGATATCGTTCATCTACCGATTCATTGCTTCTTATTCCAATGTCAATCCATCACTATCCCAATCGAGGTAATTTCTTTTGTGATTTAGGGTTTATCAGTTGTATTTCTTTATTTGTTGTTCTTTGGGTTTTCTCATGGTTTAGGGTTTGATTTCACTTGTGTGTGTTAGGGTTTGATGTGTTGTATGTGTTTTTTACTTCAATTCATCACTACCTTGTTCTTTCTCCTTCCCTGTTTTTTATATTCTTTTGTTATTGTGTTGCTTATCTTGTGTTTGATGGAAGTCCTCAAAAAGTATTTGATTTTTTCTATCCCAAGTTGTTGTTTATCATATGTTTGTTGAAAGTCCTCAAAGAGAGGTTTAGCATTTAACAATTTTCCAATAATTTTCAACTGTACCCATGTAGCAACCGGATGTTGRAGGTTTTTCCTTTTTAATATTAGACTTCATCTTTCATCTTAGATTTTATGATTTTTCATCTTCATCTTTTGTTTGATTCAATGGTGTAATCTTTTTATTCTTATGGTTGAAGTCCCAAGAAAAGTAATAACCAAGTTCTTCATTTTAACAATGATGCAAGAACATATGTTATCTCAGGTGGTTGTTTGGGATTACATATTAGAGGCCTTGAAGATCACCAAAATTGTCATTCAGAATGGACCAATGGAGCATTTKTCTTTGATTTTGTATAAGTTATCATTTCATATGCTTATATACACAAAAGCTGATATGTATTTCTCTATGCAGCAGAAGAAGTTGGATACACATCAGTAGACAAGACAGTTAAATGTAAGCTTCATACTGTTGTCATGTACTATACACACATTGCTTAAACATGCAAAACTAATTTGGCGCCTTTCCATCACTCTCCAGGTTTGATCTTCTTTCTTCTAATAGATTTTTTTCTTCAATGGTTTTTTATATTTGCCTCTCTAATTAGTGTTTTTTTTTCCGATAATGGTTGACTTATTATTGTGTTCCTCATGTTTGATTGATTAGAAAAGGTTGTATCAGTTAGATTTTCATTGATTAATCGAGGCTGAGGAATGTAAGGCTTCAACTCTCCTTACTTCTTTGTTTTATTTACCCTTAATTATGGTTTCTTCCTTGTGTTTAAAGGGACCTAGAAGAGAATCTCTGGTAATTAGTTCTTGATATTTTGTTCTCTTTCTATCATTAATATTAGTTGCTTTCTTGTAATCATTTTTTCTATTGGTCGGTATTAGTATTAGTTGCTTTCTTAAAATTGAGTTTTCTATCAGTTAGTATTAGTATTAGTTGCTTTTTTCAATCAATTCCATTTTAGTCTCTACACACATCCATACATAAATATAGAATACCAGAAAATTGGAATTCTGAACCAGAAAATGTGTTGGTTGCTTTCTTGAAAGCTTCTGCTTTGATGGTGGTTCCAAACCACAAAATGGGTATTCCAATAGGSTTATATGATTCAAATGGGTTCAATGTTGTTTCGATGTGATGTCACCCATTTAGTTATTTTTGGAATTATTATATCATTATAGCCTCTGTTTTGGAATGTGATGCCATTAAATTACAATAGCTTTTATTTTGGAATGTGAATGTGATGTCATTGTATGATGATAAAAAATCTTCTGTTTTAATCCAGAAAATGGGTTCTTTTTTTTGGTTTGTTTGTGTTTAGTATCAGTTGCTATGTTAGTATTTTAAAATGATGTGCCAAACCTTAGAGCAGGCGATGGTGTATATGTTCCAAAACCATTAACTTCATGTCGAAATTATATCTTGTGGCTTCRCAATCTCTTTGTTTTTATTTCGGTACTCTAGAGATTTTGCCATTTGATGTGGAGGATTGTAATATAAGTTTCTTTATTTTGGACAGGAAAAGAGCTTGAGTTTGATAGTCCGATGTTGTATCACTATGATGATTAAAGAACGAAACAAGGCAAAACCTGTTTGTTTCTTAAATTGATACAACTTCAATGCAGTACATATAAAAGAGATCTATTTGTTTTTGTTTCAACCACGATTGTTGTTAAGTATGATAGAGAGGATTTGGTGTTACAATAAYTGTAAGCCATATTCAACTATGCAAGTTGTCTWTACTTTGGTTTTCAAAATTGCAATACTACTGTCATTTTCTTTAACATGAAATGGTGTCATGACAGTGGAAGCTTCTGTAGGGAATGGTTAAGATAAGATGATTGGATATGATTCCAAAGGTAGCTTTTATACATGGTTTGTAGTTTTRTGAGATACAATCAATAAGTGAATAGTTTGGGAAATGTTTTTTCTTATGTTACTCTTCTCAGTCAAGTGCTTTGTTTTTACCTTCACAATTTTTGCGCTTTGCTTTTTTCATCTAAAGATCAAGCAGCTTTGGACAGCAGCATCCCTGTCTCCCCAGTGGCTCGATGCTAAACAAGGCGAGAGTAAGGTGCCGTTTATCAAACACTTACCCGGTAAGTGCTTACCGGTAAAATTTAACTCTATTATTTATTTACCGGGTAAGGTTTTAGTCTACCAAAACGACATCATATGCAACAATTTACCCGGTAAGCGCTTACCGTGGCAAGAGTCATCGCTCTCACTTACCGGGTAAGACTCTTGGTCTTTGTCTCATTCTTAACAGGTAAGATTCTTGGTCCTTACCGTATTCATGCGGTAAGGTAACGCGACTTGGTAAGCAGTTATCCGAATAAGCGTTTGGTAAACAACTCCTATGATGGTAAGTATTTAAGCCAATTCATAATTTATTTCTAGATGTCTATGAATATGGTATCAATGAAGTTGTCAAATTCTAATTAATTACCTTTTGAGTAGGCATGGTAATGTCTGATGGTGCAATACATTTTGCTAGACATGTGAAATGATTTTGGATTGCTTCATGGGCTTCCCAGCAGGGCGGATACATGCACCATAGCAAACAATGAAATAAAATGGTAGCATCCTTCTACTTTTGGAATGTTTTAGTGGGAGACAGCCGGAGGGGGGAGGGGCTTCAATTCCTCTAGAATTGTCTCCCAATTTTTCTTCTACTTTTTTTTATATCATTAGCAGCACCCTTGATATTAATTATGGTTAAATTGCAGCAAACACCATAGGTATTTTTTTTACATCACTGCTGTGTTTTGGAATATTAAACTTGGCTTCTCGAAACAACTGATGGATGCGAACAATTTGCTATGCGGTCAGTGACTTAACTGGTGTTTTGGAGCTGAAATCCAGACACATTTCTCCTGTAACATGATAATCACTTTCAAACAATCTAAAGAAAGCAACCAATGTTGCTCATTGCAAACAGTAACATACACCAGAAGTTAATAAATGGAATTGATATAAAAACAAATAAAACTATAATTGGCACCATTCATTAGGTTCGTCTTTCTACAAAGAGCAGTTAGCGAAGCATTCTGGTGGTGTTTCCTTACCAAGGTTTGTCTTTGTTATCTTCTAATCTTTCTTTGATTTTACATTCTACAACAATTTTTTGGGCAATGTTTAAGTTTAGTTATGTAGTGATTATGTTTCTTTTTAGTATTGTTGCTAATTTTGTGACATCATTGTCTTGATTAGTATAGTAATACAAGTATAAAAGACCATGATGAGATGATCATCCCTGRCYACGACAATTGACAAAGTATGGTTTAATTGTACCAAAAGTTGTTCATATTGTTTTCTTTCTGAGTCACAATTACATGGATACAAATAGCAAATTTTGGCTACCATGGTTATATATAGGAAACAAAATTAGAACTTAGTTATGMATTTARATYAAAATATAGCTAATATTGTGTTTCTCCRTCCACTCTATGCTCTAAAAATCTATTGTTCTCTACTTTATGTTCGAATTTTGTAATGTATTTGGATTTAGTGATGGATTTGTACCATGGATTCAATTTGTTTGCTCCATTTTTCATGCTCAATGTTTATGATCTGCATTCAGGTAGAACAATGGGGATGATCCAATTCTAACGGTTGGTTTCAAGATTGTGGCATTGAGAGCCATAATTAGATCTAACATCGAGGTATGAGGACGTGGGACCTTCTGCTTTGCTTACGGCAAGGGTACATAATGGTTAAATTTAAATGTGATGTATTTATTAGATGCACTTGCCTCCTTACTTAAACTAGAATCTCATGCCATGATCCAATCTTTCAACACTTTAGCCAAAACAAAATAAAGTGGTAACTGTTCACTAGTTATAGAGATGCTCATAATTCAAAAACTTATGTTATTGGCTTTGTAGCATGTAGATTCTCAAGCTTGGTGTTAAAGGAATTGTTTTTTTTCGTTACTTTAATGCAAATTTTGGGTCTATAAAGCTTAACACTTTCTTTTTTTGGTTTATCAGGTCCTCAAGTATATTCATGATGGGATAAAGAAATAAAACGAAGCTACTTTGATGTCCTATTTACTTATTGCAGATAAAATAATGGAATTGGCACATTGAAGATCTTGGGTTATATGATTTTAGATTTTTTTAAAATAAATTAGAACAAATAAGTAGATTGGTTAAAACGTTACGGTTTGTTTGAAATTTATGTCTTATGACAAATATATAAAATTATATTTTTTTAGTATTTTGATGTTATTTTTGGTTGGTGTTATTTATTTTATTGTAATATATATATATATAGCTGAAATACGAACTATATATATGTATATATATAAATAATATCATATACCCTTTTAGAGAAGGTTTACAAAGAGTGTAACTAAAGCTTATACTTTTAGCAAACGTTCCAATCATTTGTGTCTAAACATAACATTTAGAGAAGGTAAGGAAAATGTAACTAAATCATGCCTTTAGAGAAGCTTTGCAGATGGCGTCACTAWAGCATATATCTTTAGAGAAGCTTTTCTAAAAACCTTCTCTAAAGGTAACTTTTAGTGACGCTTRAAAACTGTCATTGMTGCTAAAAAACGTCACTAATACATATTTTTAGGGAAGCTTTTCAAAAAAATTCGGCCAACCTTTAGATACGCTTTGAAAGTGTTTCCAAAACCTAAAATAAGCTTCTCTAAATGTCAACATAAATGTACCCTTTCGAAAACCCTCCCTAAAACCTTCTCCTACCGTTATATAGGGAAGGTTGCTAACGGAAGTAAAAAGCTTCTCTAAAGGTTTTAGAGAAGCTTTTCAAACTTTTAAATACAAAAGAAAAGCTTCTCTAAAGATCATTTTTCTTGTAGTGGTTGGATCAAATCTTGAAGATTCAGGTTGACATTAGTGAAGTTTTGAAATGTAGTTCAGAAGTCTTAAAATCTACCTAACCAAAATTGTTGCTATGGTGGTGGTGTGTAAAATCTTGGAAACAATGGGATGAGGGTTCTGCTATGGTGCTTGGAAGTTGTACTCAGATGCAGTAGAGAGTTGTACTATGCCATTGGTTTCCTCATAGGCGTCAGGAATGGATTTTACTGATTTAGTATGATAATGATGATGATGATGATGATGATGATGATGATGATGATGGCCAAACACATCTCTATTGAGAAGGGTGTATTTGATATGGGTCAAACATGTACTTGAAAGGTCAAAATTAGTGGCTCCATTGACGATTGACCCATAACTGGGTGGCACTACTGTTATTTGTTCACTAAGAAAAGCAAACATCAAATTGTCAATTACGGAGAATATTCAAAGGGACCAATTGTTTTTTAGATTCAATACAACTGTTAGATATGGCAAATCAAGCATTCCATATTTCCAGTTATTATAATCTCTCTCATCACACACAAAGAGAAAATTCCAGTTCATTTTTTTAAAATATTTAGCTGGCACGGGATGATTGATGACTTAATGGGGGGAAACAAGTGGTCGGATGAGTTTGATTATAATATGGTGATGGTGGTCAGTTTTAGCTGCCACTGGTTCCAAAATATAATAGCTTTGAAAATTAATGCCAAAAGGGTTACAACTAAAAGATACTATCTGCAGAGGGCAAAACCCAACAAACATGGCCATACCATCTAACCTTAGCTAGTTTGGTAAAGTTAAAACATTGTTAAATCAGTTTGTGTAAAAAAACCTCTTAAATCAACTTAGATCATGATTTGGATCAAAGAAACATATGCAAACAAACATGAGCAAACAAATAGCTTCGAAACTGAACGGTATGTAGCATCATAAACATTGATGGAAACAAAATGATATAATGGAAAAAGGTAGAGAAGTAGTCATGTATAGTTCTAGACCAAATGAAGAAATGGCACACGATGGAGACCAAGATCCTTCTTATCTACAAGCAACAACCAGACCTGTACCAACTTTATAGGTCACCATCATGCAGGTAGCTTTTCACCTGATTCTGAACCCTGTTTGGCTCAATGAAGTTGTATTTGCCATCGTCCTATGTAGAAAGAAAAAGAACATCAATTCATCTTAAGACCCGTATGGAGATAGAAACATAAAGCAATTGAAATATTTTATAATATAGGTTTCAGGATTTTTGTCATTTGAGGCTTCCTTTTTTATGTGGCAAGCCTTCATGACCAAAGAGCATTTGGTTCAAGTCACATAATGCCTCCTTTGCAGATATGTGACAAAAAAATTGTCTACAAATAAAATCTTAGTTGCACACTTACAACCCCTTATTTGATTTGCAAAATTATTCTGCTAAGCAATTGAACTTCATAAGAAACCCATCTAAAGTACCTTCAAATAAGAAGTGTTATTTTTGTTCCACATCAAAGCTGCTTCTCAGTATCAATTTCTTCTCTAATCACGTACGAGCTACCATCAGCTGCTGCTTCCCAAATGTATTGTGTGCCTGACTTGGGGCTCCTTATAGACACAGTTACACCTTTATGAAAAAAGAAATATTAAAGACAACCACCAATAAACTGATGATCCATAAAAAAGAAAAAAGTACCTTGAAGGGGAACATGTAATGAAGTACCTTTTCAATAACCAGAAAATCCGTCTAGAACCCACTCCAAATTGACCAATCAAGAACATTCAAGAATGTAGAGGATTTTATTTTAGAACCGATATTTCAGGAACTAATACACATACTTATTATGATAAAAGTACCTTAGAGCATTCAAGAACTTAGAAGTGCTACTTTGAGCGATAGTTTCATGGCCGGTATCTCTTCCAAACCTCTTCCATTTAACATGGGAAGTAAATTATCTTACGAAATTGTGTTGGTCCCTTTTTCTGGATCAGGCTCGATAAGAATCTCTAGCTCGCCAGCATCTCAAAGTAAGGAGGGGTTCATTACACTTAAGAATCTCAATTTGTCAAGGGGGTCGCTTGCATTACTGGAGCAAAAGCAATGAAATAAATGAAGCATGTGAACATGAGTTTTTTTGGAAAATGCAGGATGATGGAAGGTACCTTGGCGCCAATGACGAAGAGGCAAAGAAGAAACTGAAATCCAAATATCTTCTTTTCTATCTTTTTAAAATCGAGAGATAGAGAGAGAGCGGGGATGAGAGCAAGAAAATTTAAAGTAAACCCTAATCAACAGCATGAATGACCTCTGGATTGAATAGTCTCTAAAATTGAAAGATGAAAGAGATGGATGAGACCATGAAAAAGGAATATGATTTGAATATGTTGAATACAATTTGAAGAGAGATGCATTTCAAAACCAAGAGTGGGAGAAACTTCAGAAGCCATTTGAAGAGTCTTGGGTCTACAAATAATTGGGGATGAATCGTCTCTCAAGAATCAAATCTGGTCTAGGAAGTTGAAATAGTCATCAATGGAGAAGGAAAAACCTAAGCTGAGGGAAAAGAAACTCTGAGTCATACCGAAAGCAGTTTTGGCGTAGGGAGAGATATGAAATAAGGATAAAGAGGATTGAGGGAAGAAAGCAAATCTATGAAGCACCCATTTTTGGTAGTGGTCTGGTTTAAAACACTTGCATCAATGAGTTGCACCTAATGCATCATAATTAGTATTTAAGAGATTTTCAGTTTTTATGCTTCAAAAAACAGTACTCAATGCTTTAGAGGTAGTAGTTAAGACTTTTGGTTTAAATGCTTATTAATATAGTATAAATATAACTTAATTAATATATGTGAATAAAATAATAATGATAATTAAATATAATATATTAGTCAACTGATTTGACATTTTATGGATTTTAAGGATGGTACAAAGTTTTAAGCATTCAACGTCGCTTTTAAGAGGATGCGATTAGCCCTCTTCATTGAAATTCATGAAAATTTTCGGGGAGTGCTAATAGCACCCTTAGTAGGGGTGTTGATTTTTTTGGAAATTGAACCCATCAATTTTTTTATAAACATCAACTCAATAATCATATATTTATATTTTATTAATTTTGTTTTATTTTATATATTTACATTATTATTTTATTATTTTTAAGTTATTTTATTAAATTACTTTATATATATAGATATAT